TAATACCAATGGTGTAGATGTGGTTGTGGTTGTGGTGGCTGTGGCTGTTGCAGCTTTTGGCTTCTAGCTCCTTAAGTTAGAGAGTGCTCAGACAGCGAAGTTTTATGCTTCTTGTTGATGGATTCAGCTTTTGTTGCTTCTAGTAAAGTTTAAGTTTCTGTAGTCGTCAGATGTAGCGTAAAGGACCTGTTATAATTTTTGCTCTTTTTCTAATCATCATTTGCTGAGTTTTTTTGTGAAAACGGTTGACTGGATAGATATTGCATTGCTGCTGGCAGCATTTTTATGTTTATATTTCGTTAACACGATTTATCGTTGAACAGTGCATCTGAAGTAATTTTGGTTTTGTTGATTTAACGGGAGCTGAAAGCTTGAAGTAGTTGAAATTCATGACTGATTTTTTTTGCTATCATTGAACTGTTTTGCAAATAATGATAAAGCTACTCTTTTAAATTGGCGAAGAATATTTTTCGAGGAAGGCTTTTTGGTTGTTTTTGAAAAAAAGAGGGAAAAAGGAACGTCTTAATTTGTGGAGAAGTAACGAGGTATTTATTTGTCTGTTTTCTTGTACCATGTTTGTTCTATCAACGCTAAGGATCATCGTAAATTTTCAACTCTTTGCTTTGCTATTTAGTCATCTTTCAAGTACGAATTTTAGCTTGGATTAAATGAGGAATAATTGGGAGCTTGAAGCTTTTTTTATCCAAGTTGTTATTTGTCTGTAGATGACGCTTTTGGAGAGCTGCTAGGGTGATGCTAAGCAAAGGATGTTCCAATAAGTCGTTTAGCAAGTGCGTTATGCACAACAAAAGCTACTGAGTTACGAATGAAATTTTTTTTTTGGGAAAAATTGACTACTTTGTTCAACGGAACATATGATTTATCTGATTTGCAACAGACATGCTTTTCTAGAAAACTCATTTCTGTTCTCTTGTCTCACTGTTTTCACGTCACATAATTGTCAATATTAAGAAGGGTAGCTAACCAAGATCCTCACTGAAGTGTTTTGGCTGGGATTTTTATATTTTTGTAGAAATAGTTCATTTTGGTGCTGTTTAAATGTTTTACACGGAATTCTAAATATTTTTGAGGTTTCTCTCATCACTTCTAGTAATTGCGGTGAAGAAGGAAATAAAAATTTGACAGTTGATCAGTTCATACCTCAGTTCACATTGAGTTGTTATGTTGACGACCATTACCCAAGGACTTTTTGTAAAATTAGCAGATAATTTTACTAAAAAATACAATTTGGTTTCTGTGCTCCTTCAAATTCTTTAAAGTGAATTGATTTACAGTTTCTTCATCAAATTCAGTTGTCTCTGTCATAGCTGCATTTCTGCCTTTGATGATATTCGTTTTTCCAATTGACGTTGTTTACAGTCAGCTAGAGACTAAGTCAGAAGGTCTCTCAAGCTTTTAATTGGCTTCTGGTAATAGTCGGTGTGGTAGAAACGTTTGTTGGCTTGGATTTGAAGTATCCAACTTGCATTGCGAGCTTGCAAGAGCATTATTTTCTATTTTGTCTCAGCTTCGTCATTAGGCAGCCAACACCCGTTTGTGCTAATCTGTTTACTGCTTTTGCCATATTGATATTATGTTTGTTGATAGCTGGATTTTTCGTATTGGTAAGATTCTCTACTATTGGTGACGGTTAAGTTTTATTGCTGAAATTCTATTGTATTCTGAAATGTAGGGACTATCATTTAGCTCTGTTGGATAGCTCTTTTTCCCTTTTTTCCTCTCTTCAGTTGTGAAAAGGTGAAA